CATATATATGTTTCTAATTCAGAGTTTCCAACTATTTAAGAAACTTGGGTTGGAACAGACTAAGTGTCCCGTACGGGAGGCCATAAAAAGCTTTTGAAGAACGAAGCAGGAATATCAGTTGATTAACACTTTACAGAAACTGTTGGATTTTTGTCGTACGAATCAATCGCATACGCAGCGGAATTTTTAATTTCTTACCAACAAGAAGATCTGGTTATAGCTATTCGATTTTGATCCTAGATCGCGAGAACTTACAGTTTAAGCTTTGTCTTCAACTATGGTATCCACGCAATCCAGATCCCGGTGCACGATCCAACGCAGTGAATCCTTTCTGGTGAAGACGCTAGGAATCCTCAGTCAGAAAGCCAAAGAGAGAGAGTTTATGTTTTTCAGCGTATCTCAATTATCTGATCCCTAAAACTGATAAAGAGATACCCATTTATTTATAATTAGGCTAAACCTAATTATATGGGCTTTAGAATAACCTATTGCCCAATAGGTAATTGGACCCAATCCAATTAATGATTTTAATTAAGTCTAAGTTTAATTAAACTTAATTATATATTTTCTACCTAATAGAAAATAATCTCATTACTAAAATTAAATATTCCAATCTAATTGAATATTTAACACTCTCGATTCACTCTTAGCCGGAAAATAGATTGCATATTGTGTGATCCTATAGGCCTTCATATATTGACATAAATCTAATTTATGATCCTTACGAAACTCCTAGACTGCATCGAAGGACGAACTCAATATATGAAGTACGTTTACATAGACGAAGCAAACAAACCTTTAGTGTAGAATTCAATAGTGATACGGTCCTTTCATTCACGACCCACTCGATTAAGCTTAGGACTTGAATGTGTGTCTATCCAAACAGCTTAATCATTTTATCTCATCTTACTGGTTGATTTTATCAATTATATTTAAACACTATTTCAAATATAATCATATGCATTGGCCAGTGACTTTATCAACCCAGTATAGAGAAAACGAGTGTTCTCTCGAAACTATATTCGAGGAATGAATCCCATCTTGGCTCAACTACCAATTCCATGTATATCATGATCTACCCAACACAAGCCCGTGTCTACCCATAAGGGCGTAAGCGTTAGACTAGGTCTAAGTAAATCACTTTATATATGAATTGCGTATTGACCTCAAGTCAAAGGACTATTATACCATTCTACACACCGATACTCCCATAGACACATGAACAAATGGTTTATCGGTAGGGTATACCAATACTCTCTAAAGTATCCATGTGTCCATCACGAATAACAATTATTCATAGTAGTGAGACATACTATATTCTCGAAGAATATAACGCAGACCACATGTCAATCTATAACGTATCATTAATATCCCTTTCTTAATGATCATCGATTGAGGCAATTTAAGAGTTATACTCTATCGATTAACATCTCACTCTGTTAATGATAGTATTAACTCAAGGGAACATTTAATTAATAAATTACAGACAATCAAAAGAATTCATTAATTAATGCAAAACCACGAATATCATCAAATATAATATGAATGTGATCAAGTACATTTGTCCCAAATTGATTGTCTCTAGGACACATATACTAACAATCTCCCACTTGAACTAGAGTCAATCACCAACATATCTAATACCCAAATTCTCAAAATAATTATTGTGTTTTGCTGTACACAATGGTTTGGTGAACGGGTCAGCCAAGTTGTGTTCACTCTTAACACGTTCTATCTTTATTTCTCCTCTATCAACTATCTCTCTAATTAAGTGATAGCGCCTCGGTACATGCTTATTGCGATTGTTGGATCTTGGTTCCTTAGCCTGAGCAACTGCACCGGTGTTATCACAATATATAGATATTGGATTACTGGCACTTGGAACTACCCCTAGTTCATTTAAGAACTCATGTATCCAAACAGCCTCCTTTGCGGCTTCAGATGCAGCAATGTACTCGGCTTCAGTGGTTGAATCTGCAGTGGTTACTAGCTTGGAACTATTCCAGCTCACTGCCCCACCATTGAAAATGAATGCATAACCCGACTGTGACTTAAAGTCATCATGGTCAGACTGGAAACTAGTATCAGCATACCCAGTAACTGCTAACTCGTTATTCCCACCATAGATTAAGAAATATTCTTTAGTCCGTCTAAGGTACTTGAGAATAGTCTTAACGACCTTCTAATGTTCCTCCCCAGGATTCTATTAGAATCTGCCGGTGATACTAAGCGCATAGGCAACATCTGGCCTTGTGCATGTCATAGCATACATGATAGATCCTATTGCCGAAGCATATGGTATCTTCTTCATGCGCTCAAGTTCAACATCAGTAGAAAGACAATCCTTCTTTGACAACTTGATGCCATGACCCATTGGAGATTCCCTTTCTTAGAATTTTCCATGGAAAAACGCCTTAGTACCTTATCTATGTAGGTGGACTGCGAAGCCCCAACATTCTATTAGGCCTATCTTGATAGATCCTAATTCTAAGAATGTAGTGAGCTTCACCCAAGTCCTTCATCATGGAAGTACCTGATAACCAATCCTTCACTGACTGCATATGAGAAATATTGTTTCCCATTATCAGTATGTCATCCACATATATGACAAGAAAAACAACAGTACTCTCATCGTGCTTACTATAAACACATGGATCCTCATTGCTTCTCACAAAGCCAAAAGATTTATGGCTTTGTCAAAACGGACATTCCAACTCCTAGAGGCTTGCTTAATTCCATAAATGGACCTCTCTAGCTTGCAAACAAATTTTGGATTTGACTTGGATATAAAACCTTCAGGTTGTATCATATATACGTCCTCTTCCAAGTTCCCATTAAGAAAAGCGGTTTTAATATCCATATGCTAAATATCATAGTCATAGTATGCAGCTATTGCAAGTAAAATCCGAATGAACTTAATTTTGATAACTGGTGAAAAAGTCTCATCATAGTCAATGCCTTCACGTTGACTATAACCTTTTGCAGCCAATCTAGCCTTGTAGGTTTGTACTTGCCATTTGTATCTGTTTTCCTTTTGAAAACCCATTTGCATCCAATAGGTCTAACCCCAATGGCAAATCAACCAAGTTCCAAACTTGATTTGTGTACATCGAGTCCATTTCAGATTTCATGGCTTCAAGCCACCTCTCCGAGTCTATGTCTGACATAGCCTCGTTGTAAGTCCTAGGCTCATCCCTATCAGGGATATCTATGTCGTCGTGATCTTCCAAGAAGAAAGACAATCTAATTGGTTCACGACGAGTCCTAGTCGACCTACGGAGTTTAATGTTTTGCGTTTGTGGTTGTACATTTTGATCGTGAAAAGGTTCTTGCACATTGGTTTGTTCAACAATTGGAGGGTTCTCAGAAATAACATTTTCATGTGTTTCTTGAGATGTGGCATCCAAGCCATTATGTGTTGGTTGTATTTGAGTATGCTACACTTCTGTAGTTTCCTTCATATTACTCCCACTAGATAGAAATTGTTCGGCAACCGATAAATTTCTGTTAAGGGAATCACCAACATCTCCCTCCATGTCAATATCATTACCAAATGACAAATCTTGAACCTCAGTGTTATTTTGAGTTTCTTGAATTTCTTCAAGTTCTACCATAGTACGACCTTGTTCCTTGAAGACGTAATCTTCTTCTAGAAACGTCGCCTGTCTAGAGACAATTACTCTATGTTCCCCAGGAAGATAGAAATAGTACCCTCGTGTTTCTTTCGGATACCCCACAAAATAACATTTCTCACTTTTAGATTCCAATTTATCAGTCCAAACTTTCTTTACATATGCTGGGCAGCCCTAGGCTCGCATATGTGAAAGTACAGGCCGCTTGCCATGACACATCTCATATGGTGTCTTTGTAACTGATTTTGATGGAACTCTATTCAAAATGTAGATTGAGTTCATTAAAGCATAACCCCAAAGATATGTTGGAAGAGTCGAGAAACTTAGCATGGATCTAACCATATCCAATAAGGTTCGATTTCTCCTTTCAGAAACTCCATTCATTTGAGGAGTTCCAGGAGGTGTCCATTGCGATTGGACCCCATGAAGTTTCAAGTAATCAAGAAACTCAGTGCTCAAGTATTCTCCTCCTCGATCCGATCGAAGAGTCTTGATACTTTTGCCAAGTTGTTTCTCTACTTCAGCCTTGTACTCCTTGAATTTCTCATAGGCTTCCGATTTGTGTTTCATAATATACACA